TGAATAAGTAGACTCATACTTTTCTAAAAAATCCATACTGCTTGTTGGTACCCTGATGCCGAGTTATTACATCTGGAGTAACCTGTTTTCAGGCTTTTTATTTTTGTGTTCCAAGTGTAATAAGCTTTATTAAAATTTTACTCATAATCCTATACAAGTTTATTGGCACAAGCTGTATTTATTGACCTGGATAGTCTTTTATATGAATTTGAGACAAACTAGTGAATATGAAACACAGCTAGAACAATTCTAGGTGGATGAATGCTGTTCTCTGAGCATTCATTTTTCCAAATAGTAAGAAGAAAAAGGCAAGGAGGTTTTGACAAGGATTTGCTTCATCTCTTTCACCCCTGCAGGATTTTATACACTCCTAAAGGCATGTGTTTAGTGAAGATGATGCTAGGTTTTTCTTTCAAAGGAAAGACAGAATGAAGTATCAGCAGATGTACATAACAGCCTCTGACCTAATTCTGTAGGCACGGCTGTCGTGAAAATACCTTACTTGGCGTGGAGACTTCCAGATATTTCTCAGGAATGGTGATTCTTAAATCTCCCAGTAAGATTGACATTAGATGAAAGTGTCCACCTTTCCCATGTCACACGCAGATAAAAGATTCATTAGCGTTTGTGTATTAAAGACAAAAGGTTGAGCGTAGTAGGAGATGGGTTTTCTTTCAGGTATACTTCAGCGCTTATAAATATTATCATGCATCAGCAGCCTTTATTCCCTGGCAGAGATTTTCTAGCCAGTGCTGCTTAATAATTGAAATCTTTTTGATTAACAATGCTGACTCACAAGTCCTGGTAGCTGCACAATTCAGATCAATATTTTTTGTAACTTGCGGTACTCTGGCATTGCCAGTCTTCCTACTTGAAGAGAAGTACTGCGTGATTCGCATGCTTGAGTTCCTGTAGGAATGTGCAGCTGACTGTTGTCAGGTACAAGAGAGAGACTCGCTGACCCTTGCACTGACCAAGTACAACTGCCCTGCTCCTGCCCTGCCTGCTCATGTGAATCTTTGCTGATTGAAGACAGTTGTGTTTGCATTGTTGTTGTTTTTTTTAACCTCTGCTCAGGAATTGACTTTTTCTAGTATATAAAATACTTCTGCTGTTAGGCTTCCATGTAAGACTTAGAGTTGTTTGAAAATGGTTTTTGTGTTTGTTTCATACGATTCTATCCGTGGCTGCGTGTGTGTGTGTGCACTGGATCATAAGCCTTGTAGTTCTCGGTGTTGCCATAAAATGTTCTGCTTGGAGCTGCTGGAAAAGTGTTTCCCTGTTCCCGAAATGCTTTCTCCCTAGACGTGCAAGGGTGCGATGGCATGCGGAGCACCGGGGCATGCAGATGTGAATGGTGCCGGGAGCAGGGAGTTTGGGGAACCCCTGGCGGTGCTATCGGCAGGCTTTGCCTAACAGATGTGGTTGCTCTGTGCTGCTTTAACCGCTGTGTTAACTGAAGTTGCTAAGCTTTGGCAGTTTATCGGTAGCCTTGCAATTTAAAATTATGGTGGTGTTTAATGTAAAGCGATGATCATGCAGAGCTTAAAGGGTGAGGATGTTTTGTAGTTAGGTCTTTAAAAATACACTATGTATGTGTGTTCTCGTGTACCATAAACTAAGCTATTTTTAATTCCTTTTGTTTTGGGTGTTGGAACCATGCTTTCTCAGAATAGCTAGATTTCAGTAAGCATTTCAGGTGATGTTTAAAAAAAGTCTGAAATAGATAAAACATCTGGTTTTGAAAGACAAGACGACAGAATAAAATGGTTACAGAAATACCACTGGTACGAAGGAGCAGAGCTAAAGAACCCAATCCATAGCAGAGCCTCTTCCTCTGTACAGCTGGGTATGTAACTGCTCCAGCACGTCCCCTCTTCCCGTTGCCTTCCCAGCCAGTGATCCTCCTGGATCCAGGGTGTGGGGTTTCTTACTTCGCTTTAAATAATGAGGAGCTAGATACATAGCCCCGGGCTCCAGGTGGTTTTAACAGGTATCTGAACAGTGGTCCGTTCAGAAAGAAATACCTGTTTAAGAATGTAGCAAAACTCGTCTGTAACAGGCAGATCAAAGACACTGTAAACACAAATTAAAAAAAAAAAGGGGGGGGTAAAGTGGGTCAGATGCATGACACAGTTTTGAGATAAGCTGTTGATAAGCCACTGCTGCAAATACTTGTCTTTGAAACAGTTACAAGAGGGTGGTTGACCCAGAAGGGAGCCTGGGGTGGCTCCGTGGTTGAGGTCTGAGCTGTGGCGTCAGGGCTGGTCATCCTCCGGAGAGCACTGGACAAGGTGTGCGTCGGCTAATGGCAGAAGCTTTTCAACATGTTCCTTAAAAACGCGGAGACAGTTGATGAACTGGAAAATATTTCTACCTCATTATAGGTTGAGCAAGGACAAGTAAAAAAAAATTGTGCTTTCTGGGGTTGGGCTGAGATGGAAGGTGCAGCAAGAAACTTTCTCTTAACGTAGGAGCCAGTGATGCTCATTTTCTTTTTCTTTCCGAATGAGTTGGATATGCATTCAGCTTACACGTGTTCCTCGCAGAGTCTTACAACCTGCACAGAGATCTGAGCACCTTTGGGCTGGGTTCGCCCACAAATGACAAGCAGTGACCGTCTACATGGCAGGTAGCAACAGGGGGGCAGAACAGACAAAAATTGTGCACCAGCTAGATACAGAGGATGCCACAGCAGAGTTAATGGCTAAATAAGAAAGCAAAAATCCCAGCTCTACCTTTGCCTCACAGCTGAAAACCTTTCCCTTGAGGCTGCAGGATGGTCATTTCAGCGTGTCCATAGGATTATGGAATAGTTGTTTCTGATTTTACCTCTTTTTCTGCTTACAGAAAACAAACTTCAGCTCTAGACTCTTGTTCAGTTCCTGAAGTTTAGCTCTTGCAATCTAAATTAGACCTGGCCAGGGTGTTTGAGAGGTCAGTGCTCTTGGAGGCTGCAGTGGAAACTTGTTCGGAGAGAACTGGGGAGAGCTGGAACAATGTCAGATTGTGCTGGGAAAAGCTGCTTCATGTGGGATGTCTTCAAGGAGCAATTACAAAAATAAGATAGAGCAGAGCAGCGAGTGGATGATAAATACAAATGTGTTCCAGCATCTCAAGATGTAAAGCTTTTCTATTAGAAGTTCGCATGGAGAACGGTAATTTAAAACAGCTTGTAGCTATGTTTTAAATTTTAATGTTGATGAGTTGGAGATAGCTTTTAAAAAAAAGAATTATATATTTTTACAACCATAGAAAAACTTCTGGCCTGTCAGAAGGGTGTGCAGGCATCTAGGTCTTCCTCTTTCTCCCCTTCTTATGGCTGCCTGATAGGGGAGGTGGTGTGAGTTGTGTACAGAATGTGTGTTTTAAGGCTACCTGCTGAAATCCCATTGAACTGAGAGGCGCTGTTCCAGGACTGACTGAGAACAAACACAAGATTAGACGCTAGAGCTTTTCATCCTTCTCCGAGAAATGTTGTTTTCACATGTTGTGTGAAATGAACTTGTTGCCTTAACTGACCTGTAAAATTGTTTCATATAAGCAGTTACACCTTGCAGTAAACTTAAACTCAGTAAACTAAAACTTAGTCCACTCAGTGTCGTGTTCTTGCCTCGCAAACCATTGAATAGATCAGTTTTTGACTAATTCTGTTTATCATCCTGAGGTTAGATTTGGCAAGCAACATTCATAACCTGCCACCATGAAAAATAATTTCCAACGTGTTCTTCATTAAACTTTTCTTCAATATTTGGCTATCACTGGAGGATTACAGTTTTCTGCTGAAGAACTAAAAAAAAAATTGCAATGAAAATTAACTGTCAATAGTTCTGTATTAAAATCCCTTGAAGTATCAAGGTGTGCAAGTTGTTTTGATTTACATGTGTGTCTGTTTAGCAGTACACGAATAGAAAATAGAAGTTCTTTCCTTGCTAGCTTGCTGAAAAGTATGCAACCCACACTGACAACAGGAAAGGATAGAAAGAATTTGTTTTTAAACATCAGTTGAATGAAAGCTGAACTGATGTTTCCCCTGTCTTTCAGGGGATATTTTCATATATCTTAGTTCCAAAGTACCCTCTGTTTTATTAGAGAAGGAGTCTAGTTTAAGCTCGAAAAAAATATCATATCACATTCTCATACAATGCCTTTAATTCAGATGGATCTTGGAGCCTCTTAACAGTATATCGCACAAACTAGCTTAACCTTCGGTATTGCATATCACTAAATGTAATCTGCCCATCAAGAGGCTATGCGTGCTGATCCTGCAAAAGGTAAAACCAGGAAACAAAAAAATAATGCAGTACTCAGTTTAAGCTGCTGTGGAAATCTGAGCAGGCAGCATGTTCTGAGGAATTAATTTTGGTTAAAGGCTAATCTGCCACCTACCTCTGCGGTTGCTGGAAAGAGGGGCTGCTCCCGCTAGCAGCGCTAAGCAGGGTCCTGATGTAGGTAGTACGAAATGCTGTCTGGAAGGGAACCCAAGTCCCTGTCCTCTAACTGTACAGGGAACCTGATAAGAGTAAATGCCTTTACCTGCAATTAATCTGTGTGAATACCTACAGTTAATCATGTAATAAATTTGGCTACTCTGTCAGCTTGCATCTGTTGCTCTGGGCCATTAACAAGAGATCAGGATCTAGTTGCAAAAATAACATGGAGGAGTTCGTGCCTATAAAATATTTTTTCTGTTGTTACCACCGAAGAGCAAAATTACAGAGAGAGCTTCAGATGGTTGGTTGTAAGTGTGCTTGAGAAACAGTACCGTATTTTTAAGAGACGCTGTATCCTTGATAAAAAATCTTGTCTGCTTGATCAGAATAAGATGTTCATGTTTCTACATCAGGAACAAGCAGAGCATTTATGGCATTCAGTGGCCTTAATATTTCAAAGTATAGAAAAATAGATGGAAAATTAACTCTCAGTATCTTTTCAGGAGGAGGATAGCATCACAAATCCCTGTGTGAAAGTTCCAGTTGCTTGGTGTTTCCTCTTTTCAGCAGCCGGCGAGAGGAAACGCAGCTCACGGCAACGATGTTGCTCCATGCCAGCAAGCGTAGGATGCCATGGCAGGAAAGCAACCCAAGAGGAGAAAAATCCCTCTGGGGTACGCATGGCCAGTGGTCCCCTCTCATACACCCAGGGACTGTGTGTGCTGTTTTTTTGCACCGCAGCAGCTGCTATCCCCAGGCACAGTCCGTGGGTCACGCAGGAGGTGAACACCCGCACCCCCCACGGGAGGGCCTGGGTGTGGGCAGGTGCCCCGCTTTTGCAAACTGCCATACTTGGTGCTGGCCTTCGTTTAACGAACCTCTCGATTAACAAACCAGGGCCGTGTACCCAGACTGAATTTCAGCTTGGTTGTGCCCCTTCTCCAGCTCCTTCACCCCAGGTTGTTGAATTTGTGTGCCTGGGGCGCACAGCAAGCCCCTGGCCGGCGGCTTCCCGCGTACCTGCTGCGGCGGCAGTGTCCCCAGAGCTGTCGGGGTCTGGCGTGCCTGGGCGGTTGTGGCTGTGGGGAGCCGGCTGGGCTGCAGCCACGGTGCAGGCTCCGTGTCCGCAGCCACGGTAGGCTCCGTGTCTGTCCTGGGTCAGACCTGATCAGCTGTGCTCTGCACTGTGGCAGGCAGAGCCGGGGCCGCTGGCAGAGAATGACCATGCAGGAGGTGTGGGCAGCAGGACTGAGTGATGAGGAGCGACCAGGGACAAGTGGAAGGAAGCCAGCACCTGCTTTGGAGTTCAGAAATGGTACCGATGCTCTGCCCAGCCCGCCCAAAACAGTGGCGGTACTGTGATCGGCTGTCCCGGCAGCACGCCCACGCCGCAGGCAGGCAGCCAGGTGCTGCTCCCGCAGCACAGCGGGCATCCGCCTGTGGTGTCAGCTCCTGCCACGGGACCCCGGTAGGCTGCGGTCGGGGGGGCCGCTGGGTGGGGTCTGCACAGTGCCGTCCACCGAGGTGGATGCGATGTGCTTGGCTCCTTCCTACACCCTGGACGGGGCGCAGCTCTCCTGCAAGGAGTTCCCCTCTACCTGTTCCTCCCTCCCCGGCACACTCCCATTTTTAATCATGCTTCGGCACCATCCATCTCGGGCACGTGCCAAGTGCCCTGCGTTCCCACCGGAAAATAAAAGAAGTAAGGCCAGCGACAGGGGTGGGGGGGGTGAGGGGAATAAAAAAAGGCTAGAGTGACTTCAGAAAAAAGATATGTAGAGGAAAGGGAATGGCAAATGCTGCTGGTTAATTGAAGCTGTCCTCGTACAGAGAATCAATCTCCCTTTTCATTTTCACCAAGCAGTAAGAGAAAAGAAAGCTGCTTGATACATCTTGTGATCAAGGAATTAAGCCATGCATCTCCAAAACTCGCAGGAAGAGAAGGAAGGCAGAGCTTGCTCAGTCAAAGCAGAAACCACATCCAGAGAAGAAAGAGTTTGCTTGAAGATAATTTTCTTTGATTAGTAAGAATTACCATTCCAAAAATTTATTTTTTCAGTAATTGTTTCACCTGACATTTTGCCACTGTGTGTGTGTATGTGTATATATGTACATGGAAAAAATAAATTAGAAAAAAATAGACTATTCATTTGTGCTATTTCTTTATACAACATGATATGGGCATAGTTTCTGTCATGCTGTTGTAGCTTGGGAGTGATCCATGGACGTGGTTTTCTGGTAGAGCAGCACTTTCCCATGAAGAACTGGCACAGCTCTACTGTCATCCTGCACAGAGGCAATGAACCTCGCCAGCCAGGAGACATTGCTGATCTAGGTGAATGTGCTGGTTTTGGCTGGGGTAGAGTTAATTTTCAGGAAAACAATTTGGGGCTTCCCTTTACATCTGGGGGCAATGCGGTTTCGTTCTAACCTCAACGCCCGGCTGAGGTTTGTTTGTGAACATCTGGGAGCTCCGTGGATGGGAGAATTGGCGCCTGTGCTTCAAACCTGCTGAAAGCTGTTGTTTGTTTAGCTGTTGTCTGAGCGTGTGAATGTGGAGCTGTTTGCTTCATAGAGGTGGCTGAGCGAAGCAAACAGTGAAGTACATATAGAAATTAAGTTTCAGTGCTGACACTGTGTTAATTTTTCACAAAGAAAAGTGTTCTGCTCAAGCGGTGCAGAGTATCAAGCGATGGGGTATTTCTTGTGTTGTGTTTATCTTCCGGTTACAGTAATTGTCTGAACTGTTGTTGTATGGGCTAATATTAAGTGCAATTTTCTGTGATTACCGTAGCTTCTGTGGTGGAAATGTTTTACTGGACAGCATACTTAACAATTTGTCATTTCACCTGCTATTAAAATCATACTTAGTATGAAAACCCATAAATTGTTTTACGATAGCAATGTTAACCAGCAATGCTTCTGAAAAGGATAATAAATAACTACCTGTCTCTGATATACTAAGGGGAATGTGATCAGCGAGCAGTGTCCTGAGTTGAAACAAATATGTTTAATAGAAAGCTTTAAATACAACAGGCGTTTTGCATTTTTAAAGAATTTTTTCTTTGTTTACGTCAAGGTGTTTACATTCCCTGGAAGGGTGAAATGCATTTAACCAACAGTGTGTCTCTTCTCTCTTAGATTACAGAAGTTTGTGGAGCCAAGCGCGTGGGTTATTTTGGTCCTGCTCAATTTTATATTGCTTTAAAGTTAATTGCGGCAGCTCAGTCAGGGTTCCCGGTACGGATTGAGAGCATTAAGAATGGTAAGTAGCAAATTTTGCTTGCAGCACTCCGCACTTGTTTTTCACTTTCTTTAATGCTTGTCAGCTCTCCGTGGTGGTAAACTTTTCTTCTGACGTGTCTATGAAACAATTGTATTTTGAGGAGCAGAGAGAGAGTAGAAGGTAATACTGCATTCTCTAAGTGACTGCTAAAAAATTGCAGTGAATTACATGTACGGCAAAGCTGAGATGACATCCCCCTCTGGAAGAGGCATTACCAAAGGAATGGCACGAATGACAGCTGATCAGGGCTAGGGATGCATTTCTCTCTCACCTTCAGCCTCTAATCTTGACAGCTGTGCAGAGTGGGAGCTGATCGCCGCTTCGGGTGGAGGCATGTTGCGGGGGGGTGTGGGCAGGTCAGGGGTCCCCCTGTGCAGGGCAGCTTGCAACACTCATCTGTTTTTAGCAAATAATCCT